AATTATTGTTTTGATTAAAAGTTGATTTTGTATAAATTGAAATGGAGGGGTAAACTGTCATTTTTGAAAAGTTATGAAGGTTTTCGGTGAATCTTGAAAATCTGGTTGAGATTTTCTGCAATTTACCCACCACCAAGATCCTATAACATTTTGTAGGTTACACCTCCTTCTACTTAGGTTACTCTCAGAGAGATCATCTACAGGTCGACATTATCCAACAGAACATTGCTTACACTATACAATCAATGATAAGTTAGCTCCCAAATGCAATTTATAGGCTAAATATACCTTAAATACCTTATTGTTTACATGACTTTGCACTTATATACCCCAGCTTTTTTCTTGACATTTAAATACCCTATAGTTTACAGGACTTCACACTTATATACACTATCTTTTTTCTTGATATTTAAATACCCTATATTTCACATGACTTTGCAGTTATATACCCCATCTTTTGTTCTTGCCATTTAAATACTCTACAGTTTACATGACTTTGCAGTTATATACCCTATCTTTTTTCCTTGACATTTAAATACTTTATTGTTTTTTGAAATTGCATTTTACTATCTTTAAACATAGTAATATTATTGGTAAACATTGAAACTTTTCCATAAAATTTTTCATGTAACTTGCATATGATAAAAATTCATCAAATATACCTCTGAAGTTGGTATTTTCAACTAAAAAACTGATTTTCAATCTTATTTACTCCCCCTTTTCCCCTCAAAATTAGCTTTTATTCTGATTCAACCAAGTTTAGGGTTATAAAACCAATTTTTATCATGTATGTATCACATAGAAACTTCTATGAAAATATTTCAACATTTCAGTAGTGAAGTGCTATTTTAAAAAACAATAGTGTATTAAATGTCAAGAAAAGAAAGAAAGTGTATATAGTGTAAAGTCATGAAAACTATAGGGTATTTAAATGTCAAGGAAAAAAGATAAGAGTTTACAAGTTCAAAGTCAAGTAAATTATAGGTATTTAAATGTCAAGAAAAAAAGATAGGGTATATAAGTGTAAACACATGTAAGCTATAAGGTATTTAAGTGCTACTTACTTAGCCCAATTGATATCATATTTTTACAGTCAAATTATTTTATCTAACACCACTGTTAGGAATTAGGATTCCTACAATGAGCCAAATTATTGCACAACAAATACTCTGCAAGAGTTCGATAATGAGGTCAAGCAGGTAAGGGTGTCAGGAATGTGATAGCTATTCTTTATTCCATTACTCAGTTCTATTCTATGTTGGTCGAATATATCTTTTGTTCATTATTTATTTTACTGTAATTATTCTTGCACGTTGTTTATAAAAGTTGCCAAGGTCCAAGTAGCAAACACACCACGAATCTGATGTAACTAAAACTACTTTACAAGGATTAGAAATTGACAGGATTTTCTGTGACGAACTCAAGGAAAGGAAGAGGAAATTTCAGGAAGCAATACCTTCACGCCTCCGTGCTTCCTCCTCTTCGCGCTGCCTGGTCAGTCTCTCTTCCTCAGACTTCAGGTAGAAAAGCAGCTTCCTCTTGATCTCTCTTTCATGCTTCCTTGATGAAATTACCTGGTTGATACGGTCCTCCCTCTCGCAGCTTCCTCTTGATCTCTCTTTCATGCTTCCTTGATGAAATTACCTGGTTGATACGGTCCTCCCTCTCTTTCTTAAGACGATTGTGTTCTTCCATGCTTCCTTGATGAAATTACCTGGTTGATACGGTCCTCCCTCTCTTTCTTAAGACGATTGTGTTCTTCCTGACGGCGGCTTACAATTTTTTCCTGGAAAATAAGCTGGGAACAGAAATGCAGATATAATGGTTAACTGATGAAACAAATTAGCTCCATTAATAAAAGCAAAAGCTGTAGCATTTGACTTTCGGTTTAAGCCACAAAGATTACAGATAAATCATGAAATACAATTCTATAGATTTTGAACTAAAGAACAAATCAATTTGTGGTATATTTCCAATTCTGGACCAGATCACTGCTCTGCATTAATATTAGAAAGCGCGTCATGTTGAGAGAACCAAAGGATTAATAAAAGTGAGGATATTCCCAGTACTGTAGCAAATGGATAACTGATAATACTTGTGAAACATAAACAAATTGAGCAAGCACAGATAAACATTACTACAGTAACAACTGGGCATCATATTACTGAACTAATCAAGTTGAATAGGATTAACTACCTAAGGAAACCAGAAATCTAGAGCACACAATATAAAAAGAAAAAAAAGTTTACTTCTACAACATATTTTTCATATTAGGGCAGTGGGCTTAATGGTTTTTGTAAACTTAGTCCTAAGACTAGATAAAGAAAGCAAGTGATAGAAGTTGAAATGTTACAAAGAGAGATTAGCAATTTAGCATATGGACCGAGTACACCGGTAGGTAATGCACAATTACTTTCTACCCCTCTCAATACCCACACCATCCATTGAGATGAGAAATTTCAGATCAGGGTGCATATGAAAGATGTCAAAAAGCAAACAAATTGAAAATGATTGTTTGAATAGTCAAATGCAAAATTCCTACATGAATTGAACATAACACTAGTGGCATTTGCAGCTGCCCAATTGATTGTCAACATCCAAGAGGTCATGCCCCTGTGTTGAGTAACAGAAATCTTATCAATCAAATGAATCAATGTTACTTTTTTGTGTTGATTGATAAATCATTCCATCTATACTTTCTTGTTCGTATCCTCTTGAAACCTGAGAGTGAAACAAGAACTTACCGAGATGTTGAAGATTATAGCAAGACTTCAATAAGACGTAGCACAAACGCAAAAAAAAAGGGTTATCATCACAAGTCTGCAGTTTCTTCAAGCCATCACTAAGGTAAATATAAATCATATAAAACATTTTAAACTAATTACTAACCCATCATACTGAATGTCAATTTAGATAACCAGTAATCAACTAGAAAAGAATGCATTTTCAAGTCAAATTTAGTAAGGATACCCAAACAATTACGAACACCTCACAAAGGCCAAAATATACAAGCACATTAAACAAACAAGTTCAGGCCCAACAGGAGCAAGCACAGCTGCAGAAAAACACACAAACCTTATTGTCCAAGAGTCTGGAAAGTCTATTCTTTTCTTGAAGATCGCCAGCATGGTGCTGCCTACTCAACTCAATCTCTCTCTGCAGGAAGTATAATGGTTTTAGGGATATTTTGATACACGGAAGTGAAAGCAAACTACAACAAGAGGAAAACTATCATAGGCAAACCAGTTGCTCGCGTTCATGAAGAATTTTCTCCTCTACAAGGCGCTGTTGGAACGCTTGCTCAATTAGTGGGGACTCTTCTTCCCTCTTTGCACGTTCCAAATAATCCATCGTCTTGGCTAGCTTCTGCAGCTTCTTTTCCATTTCCTGACGCTCCTTAAGTTGTTCACTTAAGGCCAAGTCAATAAGCGTCTGCTTTGTGACTTTCTCCTGAGCAGTTAAAACATAAATGACTCAGTGACTTGAGGGGAAAAGAATATATAAGAACCACCCTAATCTTATCATAAGCTGAGCGGTGAAAGAGAAAATGTTCTCTTTTAGCTGGAGATAGAATAAAAGGGCATAGGCCAAAACAAAGCTTTTACATGAGCCAAAGATAGAAATAAAATCCTCAAAGGGAGACTTCTAGAATCATCAGATAATTACCATCCTCTATATATGTTGAACTTTAGCAGACCTTACTAGGGAAAAGCAAAAGGCATGGATCAGCTTACCCCTTCGAGCACGTTTTTCTTGATCTTTTTGTTCTTCTTGGCTTCTAGAAATAAGGCTTGAGCTTCTTGGTATTCTCTCTCCTCTATTTCAGCACGAATCCTCTGCTCCTTTCTTCGGGTATATTCAGTGGCAAGTCGCTTCTGTTCTGCTTCTTCAGTTATCTTCTGAAGTTTCATTTTCTTTGATTCTTCTTCCTTTTCCTAAATATTTCATATTTCCACTTAGCTTTAAAAGTCAAATATACCTATGGAAAAAAGTTATCAGATATATACCATTTCTAGCATCTGACGTTCATGTTCCTCCTTGCGCTTCTCAATAATGGATTTCCTAGCAAGTAGCCTTTTGTGTTCCTTATCCACAATATCTGCTAAAACATACAAGCTATCGCCTAGCCTCGGTTGCTTCTTTACTGGTGGATATATAAGGCTCCTTGCTTTATTGAGAGACTCAGCAAGAACAGTTAGATGATCACACACCTTGTCAGATTCAATGTCCTGGAATTGAAATAACATATTCACAACCATCACAAATTAACTTAGAATAGTTGATGACTGAATGTAATGTTGGTGATGCATGTACTTCAAAGCATGATTGAGTTTAGTTGCGGCATTGAACATGAAAAGCATAGTGACAACTTACAATAATGTTAAAAGAATTAAGCTAAAGGTTAAAGGCTTCAGAGTGATACAATACCAAAAGTTCATCCAACAAGTGTACATGGAATATTAAACAGGCCTTAGTGTATATTATTAAGGGTGTTTGATATAATAGATCCACACATCCTGTTTATACACTGTTATGCCATTTTTTCTGGACTGTTATGCCTTTTATGTTACAGCTACAAATGATCAGATTTTAGCCTTTTAGACTCCCTCCCTTCCTCAATCACTCTTCCCTCCCGGACTACGGTTGTCAATGTCAGGAAGAGGGAGAATAGAGTAGGTTACTAAGGCCAGAGTAGTTAATGTAGCAGTTAAGAGTTAACCATATCTAGCTAAGGGTTTTGGACAATAACCATCCACAGATTGTTTTTTTAACACCTTAAAAGAATTGGGGGTCTAATTTAGAAATACCTAGAGTCAGGAGTCTAATATAAAATTAAAGACGATTTGGGGATCTAATATGAGAAAAACCTAACCATTAAGTCTGAGAAGCTTGGTTGCTTCTCCTGGTTTACAAGTTATCACAAAATTCCTAATTTCCTAGCCTATCACGTAGTCAGAATTGTCTACAGGTCCAACCACCTATCTCTAAGTAGTCACAAAGATGATACATGCGGACTGGCAATCTTCAAATTGAACAAAGTGACATGTATAGCACTCGTGGATGTCAATGCTAACAGATTACTAAAGATGTAAACCATTCCAGAAAAATAGTTTCATCCATATTCCACATACTTCTGGGAAAATCTTAAGCTACGAACTTACTAATTGCTTGGACTTATGATTGTCAAAGAAGCATGTGAGATATAGCATAATAAATATTAGCTGATATCCTACATGATGTTATGGTTATCATCATTGACAAAATAATCATCAATTCTAATGATAACATGACAGCTAACAACTTCAACAAACAATTGTCCCCAAGTGTATTAGACTCCTCCTAAAGTGAGACCTTTAATGCCATAATGCAAGTATCATAGTTTTAAAAAGCGGACATCTTTAATAATCCCTAAGCATTGGAATCCATGAGTGTTATACATACTTCCGGTAAAATCTTAAGCTACAAACTTACTGATTGCTTGGACTTATGATTGTCAAAGAAGCATGTGGGATATAGCATAATAAATATTAGATGATGATATCCTACATGATATTCTGGTTATAATCATTGCCAATATGATCATCAATACTAATGATAACATGACAGCTAACAACTTCAACAAACAATTGTCCTCCAGTGTATGAGACACCTACTAAACTGAGACCTTTAACGCTATTATTGTAAGTAGCATAGTTTTAAATAGCGGTCTAGTCCTCCAGCTAGGCCTTATCAGCATTGTTTTAAAATATCCCTGACATGGCCCGATATATCCTCCAATATATCCTTTTACAGGGTTTGTCGCAATCGATATGATCTCTAAATATTCTTCCCCGCTTTTTGGCTATTTTGGGCGATATACCCCCGATATGCCTGATATATCAGCCGATATATGGACCGATATATCTTTTTATATGGCTCGTCACAAAACAACATACCGTGGTTAGCAATTTTTGGGCGAGATATCATAATTTTTGCCTATTATATCAAATGACATTTTCCCCTAAAAAATCAGACCAAATATTACACCGTTGACTTGTACTTTTGTTTGTTTTACAAGGTTGAATAGTGATCCTAAACATATATTATTTACCGTTGGTATGCTTAGATTTCATTAAGTATGCTCAGATTACATTTTAGTGCATTATACTATATATGCAAATATCCATTATGGTATTCTGATATTTACCACATATCCCCGATATTTCTCCGATATCCGCAATCCGATATTTTTCCGATATCCGATATTTAAAACCTTGCTTATCAGTACTTAGGCTGCCCCCCTTAGGCTTGGGAGCACCTAGGGGCTCTGAAGCACGGATTCGCCCCCGGAGGCCACGAATTCGTGTCCGACTCGAATCAGACATGGATTCGTCACGACACGTGCACGACACGTGTCGAACACGGTCAATCCGTGTCCGACACGGGTCAACGGTCAAATTAGGCTCGGACACGGTCAAAGGAGCTCGGACACGGCTCGGATTGGCCGAAGGCCGATTCATTGGGGTTGCGGGTTTAGTTGTTAAAATCCAACCCGAACCGTTCGATTAAAAAACTCATCCTTATTTCTCAAATCTCCCGTTCAGTTCAATTCGATCCTCAGCTGACTCAAACGAAATAAAAAAAAGAAAAAACCCTAGCCCTAATCCTCTCTCTCAATCTCTCAGCTCACTCTCGTTCGATTCGATCACCTCCGCTGTTCCGACCCGATCCCATCGACCGACTCCTCCTTCCTTCGACTCCTCAAGTCCACCCTCCATTCCTCCATTATCATCATCTCCTCCGGTTTTTTAGTTCGAGCAGCAACCCAACGTCATATTATTATCATAAATCTGATGGAGAAAGTTACAAATAATATATTTTAGATTGTTATTTTGTGATAGATTCATATTTTAGATTGTTAGTTGAATTTTATAAATTTTTCTATATATTTTGTGATAGATTCATATTTTAGATTGTTAGTTGAATTTTATAAATTTTTCTATATATAATAATAATTTAAAAAAATTCCTTGCCGTATCCCCATATCCTATTTTTTTATTTTGTCGTATCCCGTATCCGTGTCCGTGTCGTATCCGTGTCCCGTATCCATATCCGTGCATCATAGCCTAGGGGAGCATGGACCGATATATGGACTGCAAAATTTAGGTCGTAGTCCATTTTCCTCCGCAGCCATCTCCACATCCTCCAACTCCCTAGACTCATCCACCAACTCGAACACCTCCTCGTTCTCCACTTTCAGCAAAATCTCTTCCAACTCCAGATAAAAGAAAAAACTGCCTAGGAGCCTAGGAGGTAGGCACCGGGTCCAGCACGTAGCACTTTCTGTCACATTGGCAAGTACATAGGCGAGATTTACAGGCTGTGATGAAGTCATGATTTTCCTTTTAGGGCATGAGATTACACTTTACTCAGATCAGGAAAAAATCATAAAGAAAAGTAATACAGGGCATTGAAAATATAATAGGCAACAAAATATATACAATCTAAAGCAGATGAACTAGCAAGGTTACAGACACCGTGCGACAAAATGTATAAGAACGCATCTTCAACAAAAACCAGACCAAGAGCATAAAAGGCCTCACATGACATGCAGACACAATTTCTTAGTACGAGCAGTCATAAACCTAGATGCTAGCATGTCCTCTGATGTAAAAAAAAACAATGCATAAAACAGAATAAACAAGGTGCAGCAAATGATAACTATTGAAAGAGAGTTTGTAGCATGATTACATACCTCATTGCCAAAAACCACAGCGCCCTTCCGATGATCAACTTTAACAGCAACAAAATTATATTTGACAGCATCAACTGAAATCTTTTCCACGAACGAAAAGTCAAAGAATGGAATCATCTTTGAGAGCATCTCTATTTTCACAGATTGATAAACCTGAGAGACCTGAAGAAGCAAGGAAGAGTTTGCAAGTAAATGTATGGGTAATCATGAAGCATTAAGCAATACAATTAAAATACTTCTTACATATAAACATTAATTATCTCAAAATAATACAGTTCTTATATTCTCTAAAAGGCTGTTGCTAATTGCACCAATGTCTTGTCTGCTCCATTTATTTTGTAACTCCAAACATAACAAATGTTCCAATTCAACTAGAAATAACCTCCTGAGGAAATATGTGTTTTTGACTGAATATTTCCAAAAGTGCCAGCAGATAGATACAGTTACATGCAGAAAGACTTGCCACATATGGTAAAACCACGTACTAAATGTTAATCACAAGAAAATAGTGTACAGTAGTTAGTTGACGCATGCAAATATCTGTGTGCCATAGCACGGGGACATTATAGTTCTTTGAGCCTAACATTCTTCCACTAACAAATATATTAAAAAATCATCATAATGTATGTACCTGCTGCAATACTCTCATTGTAGTAAGTTTTTCAAGGGCAGGAATATATTGTGATAGCTGCACTTCCGAAACAGAAGGAACAGAGGAGAGTTTTCCCCCAAGTTTGGATATCTTAGTAAGCAAAGACTGCGCTTTTGATGCAAGATCAAGTGGAAGAAATTCATGTTCTAAGATATTGTAGAGGTCCTTCACTTCTTGCGAGACACATGTCATTACTCCTTTGGAGGCCTATATCATTGAGAGGAAAAAAGAAGAAGAAAATAAGTATACACAAAAAATCTATCTAGTAAAATGGATTTACAAGTTATTAAACATTGAATAAATAATTTTTTTATAGAAACTAACACCAGCTTAGGTTCTTGCCTTAAGTTGTAAATTACATTAAAAAGGATGAAGGAATACACAACAAAACTGGAACTACCATCCCTCAAAGTGGCCAGTTACAAATCGTTCAGGCAGTTACAACTTCGATAAACACTAGAACTACCATCCATCAAGTGGCCAATTATAAATTACATTCACAAGACTCAACAACACTGACAAGATTAACTGTCAATTTAATGCTAATCTGCTAAAAATAATATGTTATAGGAAGTCGGTGGCAGGATAAACTATAAAACCAATAATAAAATAATAACAGAACTGACAAGTAACCAACAACACAAACAAAAAGTTGAAAACATAATAATAGTCGCCGAGATGTGGTACAAAAAGTCTAAAGAAAGAAGTCATTGCATCTGACATGAACCATAGTAACAAAACCTGAAACACATGCACAAGAACAAATTCAAGCACTTCCATGCCTTTAAACTTAAAAAGGCTATGAGGAATGTATTAGAGTTCTCATTCTATTTGCACGCAGGGAAAATGGAAGACTTCGAGGAACATGTAAGCAAATGTTCCCCATTGGGCTTCAAATTTACATCTCACAAGAGGGAAAGCATCCTAATGGAAGGTTAATTACAAAACACGGTTAACAAAGGAAAATGTTCATTTACAGATGGATTCATTGGCCTCTTAATGATTGGTTATAAGTTCCAGTAACTTTATTTTAGACTAATATAGATTTTTAAAATCAGAACTTCAGAATAGGGTGAGTCATTTATGTTAGTGTCAAAGAGGTTGTCAGAACCAAAACTTACGTAGCTTAGGACACAATACTCCAGATCTCAAATCCTATATTATACTCCATCCCTTGCATCCAAATAGGTTTAGTTAGTGGCAGCGGCTGTGACAGTGTGAGTAGTTTCCCGATCTCTATTCAAATACCTGTCAAGATCTTCCAGACTTCAAGTCAGTTCTTTTGCCTCAACATTTCCTCCACTTCTCCACCTCATCATTTCTTTCTTTTCTTTTCCATGTGTTCTTCAAGGAAAAGAAAAGGGTTTCATTATTTTTCAAGAACTGACAAGAGCACACATCCCTTGTTGTTTAGCGAGTTTCAATGCTTAACAGTTTCATCGATATGTATGCAACATTGCAAACCAACACCCCTGTTCAAATCACCAGTGCCAAAATTCAATCCTATACAAGTGGTGCATTATATTATCCATTTTTTTCAAACTTCAGCATGTAGCCTTACAAATGCTTTAACATGTAGACAAAAGGAGCAGAGAGAGCTTAACCCACTCATGTTTACAATGTAAGTTGAAATTTCACTATTGTTAAAAATTACAGGGCTTAAAAACTATTACTTTAAAAAATATGGCATGAAATAAACAGACACGTCGGAAACTAAATATTATTTGACACTGTGTAATTGATCAGATGTATTCAATCACATGGCCTGGTACTCTGTTCATAATATCCATATACAGATCACACAACCATGAAATGATGAAATCTGAAATAAATGTCTGTTCTGGATCAAACAGGGATTGAAATTAAACCCTAAGACAACTTCTCAAATGTTAAAGGTGTATATAACAGATTACCAGTATAGGCAGGTTAGTTGGAAGCAATTGTTCAAAACACTGAATACCCTATTCTACTTTTCCTTTCATAATAATTAAGAGCGATATTTCACTGTGGACTCATTCATGGACAACTTTTGTAACCTTAAAGAGTAGATGTTGAAGGGAGACTCTACCCACATATGCAGCCAGGCAATTAACTCTTTCACAAGCGCTTTTAAATTAAAAGGAGGAAAAGGTATTTAAGGAAAGAAAATGTGAAGGGGCTAACTGGTTATCAAATGTTTATACCTAAAAGCCTCTTCTGGAAGCGTGCAACACCATGGGAAAATGTCAGATGTACAATTGCAAGAAAACAGAAGGTCATGCATTACTCTTTTGATCTCAATAGATCCGCATGATTCACTTTTATTGATATAACATGAACAAAAGACACTGGTTTCATGTTCGAATTCAGTAACATGGTAAAACCAGTCAATGGTGCAGCAACTATCAAGTTCATTGAATTAAGGCCCAGTGGATGTTATCCATAATGAAAAGGTTATCACCATCTAAGGCTGCTTTAGATTTTCCTCCTTCCCTCTATGTTCGCAACATATGTAACTCTACTCTAATCATCTGAAAAAATACTACTAAATGCAGTAAAGAATTTACTGAAAACAGAAGAATACTAGCACTAGATTATTTTTTTGAAATCATACCAGTTCTGCAATGAGTGATGAGCGTGAAAGCTGCAAGGAAAAAAGAGAATCCATGTTATTACAATCTAATTTTATAGGTTGACACCATCCAAGTCAAAAAGATCCAAAATAAGAACTTACAAGCTCTCTGTTCTCTCTTTTAGGATCTAAATTGAATCCAATGAGACTAGACATCCGCAGATTGCGCTCTTTCTCATTTTCAATTTCCAAATGTGATGCTCCATGCTTATGGTCATAAGGAGTCACTGCAAGTGCAGCCAATAAAACTGATGATGCTATCAACTGCAAATCTTTTTGCGTCAAGTTCTTATTGTAGCTTTTTTGCAATGTAAAGAGCTTCAGCCATGCATACGCATGGTAAAGGTGACTGTCCGCAACCCAAAATATCTCTGTTAGCTTGGCATAATATACAACCATCAACGATGGCTTCGGACTTTTCTTAACCATCGTCATCAAACCATGAATATCCTCTACAGATCGGAAAGCTTCCTGTACAACAACATTGAAGAAGATCACAGTACAAGATAAAAGACACTTCAGTGGCAAACATAAACATAGAAGTTGCTATATCGCAAACCTGCCACAGAGCCAGATCTGTTGCGATCTTGAGTTGCTCTACTCTTGTATCTAAATAAAGCTGCAAGCTTTCGGGAGCTGTCAGATCAGGCCTATCTCTTTGATCCCGGTACTTATTTAAGTTCGCAAGATGGTTTCTTATAATTTCACATAATCTCCGGAATTCAGTGGTCCTCTTATACTGTTTACAGAATTGGAATGCCCGATGTGCTGTCATCTACAAATAAATAAATAAAAGAAAATTAAAGGCATGGCATGCTAGATAGAAGTAGATCAATTGGCCAAGAACTTGTACCAGTTCCTTCATCAAGGACATTGTCCTAAAGTACTGATATATAGCATAAATAAAATAATAGGATAAAAAATCTTACATGGACATGCGTCAAGAAATTAGTAAGACACTTATTGAGATGAATGACAAATTCCGCAATTGATCAAAAGCAATTTTTAGATATCAAAACCCACATAAGGAAACAGCCACATAAGTGCATGAGGAAGCGAACAATGAAGTAAGTCAGCCATTACATAACAAGAAAAGCTATACATCAAGGATAGATTTTAATCATTACATGGTAATCCATTTCCAATTCAGAGCAACAATTTGTAAAAAACTAAAAATACCCAACTTAAATTTTGAATAAGCATCAAACTACCTTCTAACAGCTACTTCTCATGGTTTCATTTAGATTATCACACATATCTCATAACAAAGACACTCACAATCCTACCACCAAGAACTTAACAGTTGAAATTTATTGGGTAAAATATTAGAATTAAGACACATAAAAGGTGACGGAGCTAGTGAAAACTAAAGTTAAAGTACATCCAGGCTCCAGCCTTAAGGCTAAGGCTCTATTGTCAAATTTGTCCTGAAATTATAACAATCCAACATCCTTCAATTCTGAACTATCTACTGAGTCTGTATCACTATGTTGAAATGTTCTGAAAGCTGAGCTCAAAAGTTATGTTTACCAGTCAAGATGGAAAATGGGCATAGTATATTTCTAATAAAGCTGGTGTAATAACACTACCCTGGTGCAAGAAAATTGCACTGAACTCTTTCAGAGGAAATTAGGAAAGCAAAGGTCATGTTTTTAAGACAAGGTCAACTGTAGACACAACTAATAATATTATTACCTGTAAAGATGAAATTTCACCAGAAAATAGTTGCTTTTAAAGGAGGTGAAAACAGTCTAGCATTTATCACACTCAATGAAAATAATGGATGCAAATACAGGAAATCTATAACGCAGTTCCTAGAATGAACACCTATGAAGAAAATGTAACTCACTGCATATAACGCCTCCAACTTTGAGTTGTTACGTAGAATCTCAAGAACCGTCCTATAGGTTTCCCATAGAAACTTGAACCATGGAGTCACAAGCTCTCTGTCGGATCTGTCCTTCCCTTTCTCCCCACTGACATAACTCAGCATCAAATCTTCTGGCCTGTTATCAGCCTCCAAATCCTCAACATCAAGAGCATCTTCTAAAGCCTGGGCCTGGCTGCGAGCTTGCTCAGCCCTCTCAGTAGACAGATGCATGAAATATTTAATCACTTCTTCCAAAGAGCTGACATTCACTTGTTGGCAAACAATACGGTATTGGATAAGACCATCCTTTGCAAATCTGCCTCTTCTCATGTCAACACAGAGTTCTACATATTTGAACATGATCTTCTCAAGGGTCTTCTGCCATGCCCTGTATCTCTTTGACGTAATAAGGTCATGAAGCGCTTGTAAGGCCGCTTGCTTCTGGCCAACATTTATTAGCTCTGAAATAAAAAATGAAAGAAACAAAACCAGTTAGATTTTGCAAATCATAATAAAATTATATGTTGCAAAAATAAATGGCTTTTCATGATATAAGACGGATCTTCTTCTTTTTTATATTAGACCTTCAAATCTTGGTATTTCTAAATTAAAACACAAATCCTTTAAGTTGTTTCAAAAAAGACCCCCTAGTTAGGTTTAAGCTTAATTTGTTACATTCTATGCTAATATTAGGGGTTTTATTTTAATGGACCATTTTAAATGGGTTGTGTTTTTCCACAACTTCTCCCTCTCAACTGCTCATACAAAAAGAGGGATACGAGGAAACAGAAAAGAGAGAGAAGTTGGAAAACAAAGGTAGTGGGAGAATGAGGTTGGGTTCCTAAGGGCTATAATTGTAATTTACTCAATATGGTTAAGAGTTAACCATGCAAAGAATTTGAATGGAAATCCTTCATGGGGTTTTTTTCAAACTAACTTATAGTAATTGGGGGTCTTATTTAGGAATACAAAGATTTCGGGTCTAATATAGAAATAAAGAAGATTTGGGGTCACAAATTACAAATTGAAGACTTGGGCACCTAATATTTAAAAAGAAAAAATGATAGATTTAGGACATAATATGAGAAAAACCCAGCTTGTTCATGGCAGTGGCATAAGAAAGCATGTAATTAGAAGATATCATAGCCAAGCTGGAGACTGTGACAATTAAGACAAGTCAAAGCTAAAACCTTTCCCAAGATATCACTAGCACAGTACCCAGACTAAAAGAACCTTAGAGCCATCAACACTGTAATTTACGATTTTTGATCAAATTTTGGTTGCCCACAGAAAAATTGCACTGTAAATGTCTAATACAGTCAACAAGAATTCAACTGTTCCAAAAAGTATCAAATTGTAAGGAGCTGACCTTCAGCACGCTTCAGAGCGTTCTCAGGCTTCGCAAACTGCGCCATGATTACCCAAAAGATCCGATTACGCCTGCTTAATGATAGCAGGCGTAATCAGCACCTGAATTAATCGATAACCGACAAAGATTCAGATCAAATTAGGGAGAAATCTGAAACACTAGCAGAAATTTTAACAAAAAAAGAGGAAATTTGTAAAACTAGGGTTTTGATTTGCTTACCGTTTGGTTGGGAACTGGACGGAATTGGGGGGAAATCTGAAACCCTCGCACAGCGCCGGAGAAGAGCGTAAAGGGGTAGAACTTGGGAGAGTGCTAGGTTTTATGAGAGTTTCTCGTAGGTTGTAAACGAATCGGATTGATGAGAAGAAATACGGATCCGATAAGAAAATCGAATTCGGATCCGTTCTCTCCTATTAATCTTTTATTCCAAGAGCTGAGATGCACGTGCAATACATGTGGTTGAAATCATAATTATTTAAATTGATAAAAATAAAGTAAAAAGAAAATAAATTTTTTTGTGGGATTGATCATCAACTTAATAATATCTCTTAAATAAAATATTATCATTGTTTCATTCAACTCAGACTGTTACCACGTGATCTACTATTTGTGACTTATAAACACATTAATCTAGTACAACATTTCTATTTATTAGTATATTGAAGTCTTCAAAAGATAAGTGATCATTCAATTCACAAAGTAATTTTGTATATGAATTTACTTGCAATATGTCCGTTAAACTTTTAGTTGTGGTTTGACTCATATTCACGTTAACTTTTAGTTGTGATTTCACTCGTATTTATATTATAAAATATTCTCATTCAATTTTATAGCTCATTCTCTGTACCATAGAAGTAAAATTAAAAGTATGATGAATTATTTTTTTGCGAAATTAGAGTAGGGAGATTATGATATATTTCGCCATGAGCTCTAAATATAATTTTTTTAATGCAAGGTCCCTATCAAATCTTACCCCAAACGATGTGAATGAAAAATGCTATTATAACTCATTTGCCTAGGGCAATTATATTGTATATAAGATATATAACTCATCTGAAATATCCACAGCTGCTAAGTGGATTTTGCTGTTGTGAGAACAACATGTTAGAAGCTCGTATTTAAACTTTTTGGCTCTATAAAGACCCAAGAATTTGGAGTGCATAGCTTATATATCATAAAGAACATATTGGTTCATGAAGAATTTTCCCTGATAACGATATTATTATAACGATATTATTATTCAGTAATGAATCAATTTTATTATATAAGATTATATGACCCTGTTTAATAAATTATAAAGTATATATATGAAAACCTCAATGCTTATAGCCAGTAGGTGGTCTCCACAAAATAGGTTAACTTTACATTGTAGTTTGCTATTTTTAGTACTGTTGGCAATATCATTACATTTCCTCTTTATCTTATTATTCACTCTTTTCTGATGTAAGTTCTCTTTTACTAATCACTCAATTGGCTATATTTAGTTTTTATAATATCAAATGTTAGAATATTTTCTTCTATTTTAAAAATGTTGATATTATTTTTTTAAAAAATATATACACATAGTAACAACAGTATATACTTCAGTTTAACTCAAACATTGGCTTGAAACCATTTAGAGTGTGGTTCTTTCTACGCTAGAATGATGATATAGTGATTACACAGTCCAAAAGTCAAAGAAGAAATTTCTTCAAATGAAAAGTAATTTAATATGTCAAATTAACAACTAATTTATAAAATATACATGGGCAGTTTAAATAGCTATAGAAAGTAATGTGTATATCTTCATGAAAATTTCATAGTGTGTGACCAACTACAATCATTCTAATTTAAGTAGTCCCCTTGATATTGATTTCCCGGTATGAGGTTTCCTTGACTATTACTATTATAGCATCGACTAGACGATGTACTCTTGATCGAACATGTTATGGGTCACGGTTATTTTCATAGTTTTACAGAAATCGTTCAACGGTAACTCCGTGGCTAGTGCACAATATTTCATGCACAGTCACTTAAATTAAACTGACAAACATGAGGTTTATAAAGGGGAATTGGACGGAGAATATAACATGTATATAAACGGGCACATGCGCTTTTCTAATATCACGAGTTATATATATACAAGGGCCAAAGGGCCAATACTTGATTTGAAGGCGTGACCCCGTACAGGTTTACGGGACCCGATTATATATATGAAAATATTCTTCTCTAATTCAAATAACATGTAAAATAAGAATAATATGCTTGTATGTCCTATAGTAGGCTTTGTTTGATATCTACAATTAAAATTTTCTTTTATTATCACCTTATATAGGTTATCACCGTGGATGATTATGGATTTCCCCTTATTATTATAATCTAGTGGTGATTTGTATCTAGTTGTTAAAATTACAGTTGCATACTTCTATTTTTATTATTACTGTCATTGCATTGGTCATTCGACCATTTCTTTTCTCCCTTATCGGATCTTGCCTGTGCCATGCACGCTGGCATACTCCTGTTCTCTCGGGTTGTATGTCAGATTTAGAGGACGGACATGTCCAGCTTGGAAATACGCCAGAGCCAGAGTATCCTCAATAGGAGTGTTTTGCAGACAGAGCTAAAGAAGTCAGAGCTTAGTTATCTCTTTTAGTCAGTTGATGAATTTAGTTTATTTTTACAGTACTTCATTTCTATTTCTGTTGGATTATGTATTTTCATGTTTCTTTAGTTAGACTATTTTGTAATAAGGGCGTGTTTGACCCGGACTTTGTCTCTCGGAAGATATTTTATTTATGATATGGATCATTTCTATTCTGAGTTGTTTATTATATTCTTGGTAATTGTGATCAGGGACCTGTGACTTTACAATTTATTTTGACACTTAGCGTATTAGATTAAGTAGAAAGGGTTTAGTATTTATTTCTCCTCACTCTAATACGTCACAGGCTTGTTCGCGTTCCGATTCTCGGGTATTTTGAAAAGTGGGGCGTGACAACATCTTACCAAGAATCCAGTATATCATGCCAGAACGAAGCACATCGACGTATGTTACCATTTTATACGCTCGCTGATTGAGGACGTGAAGTTACATCTAGAGAAGATTTTGGGGAGTTAAAATCCTACAGATATGTTGACGAAAGCAGTGACCATTAACAAACTGGAGTTGTGCGTAACTTCAGTTGGCCTTCACGTGTAGGAGATGAAGGTGGAGCCACACCAGGAGGATCGCCGGGATCGCTGGGTTGATGATTGAAGAATAGATTTTTTCCATGTAGGAGGATGCTTGTGACAAAGGGAGAGTTCAGGTGAGCTCGTTGATTGTGCTTTGGTCTTCAAGTGGGAGATTGTTAGTCTAAGGGATGTAGACTCAAAGTTAGAATCAAACAAATTATTGGATAGCAGGTTTACTAATCTGTTTTGGTAATAAGATTCTTAATCTGTTTTGGTAACATGATTCTTAATCTGTTTTGATAACAGGTTATTAGGATTCCTAATTTATTTTGTTTTTGGTTTTAGAATTCCTAGTTTGTTTTGGTTTTAGGTTTTCTATATATATGGAATGCCTTAGAAGAGATTAGACATCAGAAAAAGGGTTTTGAGAGAAATCTTCTGAGAGATCTCAGAGAGATTAGATCCTATTTGTGAGCATTGTAATCTTCTTCAATATTAATCAAAGAATTGTGTGGTGTGGCTCCCGAGGATGTAGGCACGATTGCCGAATCTCGTTAAATCTGGTGTGTTCTTTCTTGTAAGTTTTTATCTTTTATTTACTGTGATTTTCCCTACTTTCCTACTCTCAAACACAAGGTTCGGAAGGGAAAGGGTTCGATTTGATTGTTTTGAATCTCCAACAATAAATGTATGAAATTATATTTTAAACTAGTCTAAATGTACTGGTTACATAAAACAACTCTGAAAAAAAATATGGTAAAAAGGCAATTTGGTCCATATACTTGGGTTTCAAATTCAAATTGGTCCATGTATTTTTATTTTTTCTAAACTTTGTCCCTTACCACAACTTGGGTACAAATTAAGTCCTCTTTTAACATCTATTAAATATTAGGTGTTATCTTTTTATTTATGACTACATTACCCTCATGACATGAAACAATAGTCTCTCTCCTTTAGAACACCTCTTTTTTTTAATTAATCCTTAAAATCTGTTGTTCCTAGTAGGGAATTTCAAAGACATGACTTTTTACCAGAGATTTTCGTATGGATATAATATTCTAGTTTATTAAAAATATAGTACCTAGTTTCAATCTCAATAAAGAACAAGATTAAAGGCCGGAAGGATTGAGTTTCTAGTTTCTGATTTGTTTTATAAGCAACTTTTTATGTGTTTTTTTGTATCTTGAGTTTGATAATGATCGGGAGAAGATTGAAAAATCTAAGAGTTTGATGATGAATTATTTTATCTTTTCAAATTTAATTTTGTGCAGTTGCAAAGTATGCAAGTTATAGTTTGTCAAATATTACTAGAATATCCATTGAAGAATAGAGATATCTTTGCAACATGAATGTAGTGAATCACGACGTACTTTCTCATTGAGTGACTTATCTAGCTCCTAGTCATTGGGGAAAAGTTCTAAATCCCTCAAAACTCTAAACATTTTGCATGATGCCTAGTTGTCAATAAACAGTCTTAAAAAGTCATGTCGCACAAATAATTTTGACGAAAGTCTCAGACCTTTCTCATAAATCTATTTTTTGAGGTTTTACAAAAATCCATTTTCTTTCATATAAGATTTGTTTATTTTTTGTATTTTTATATAATCAGTTTTCTAAAAAAAGAAATAAAGTTAATAGGGCATACAATTGATTAATATGTAATCTTTAAGATTAGGGTAATATTGTCCTTTTAAGTTGTATTTAATGGATTTTTTAATGGAGAGTTAAAATAGAACTATGTTTACATCTAATAAAGGATTCATGGATTAAATTGAGAAAAAATAAAGTACATGAACCAATTTGAGCATGAGGTCCTAGTATAAAGGGATATATTATATATATATAATATATATATATATATATATATATATATATATATATATAGAGAGAGCAGAGCAGAGAGAGAGAGAGAGAGAGGAATATGGGTATGCTGGTACCAAACACAAATTTTGTACTTGGTAGTGATGTGGCACAATCCCCTCCACTCATTCAAATGGAGGACCACATTCACATGGGTTGAGAAGTGCATGGGGATATGCAATCATTTGAATGAGTGGAGGGGATTATGTCACCTCACTACAAAGCATAACTTTTTTGTGCTTGGTACCAAGCATACCATTTTTCTCATATATATATATATATATTATATATATATATATATATATATATATATATAT